TGAAATGGACAAGAGATGCTGCATAAGTGAAATGGACAAGAAATGCTGCAGAAGTGAAATGGACAAGAGATGCTGCAGAAGTGAAATCTATGAGAAATGATGCAGAGGTAAAATCGAGGAGAGATGCTGCAGAGATGAAATCTAGGATGTTCAAAGGTTAAATCAACAAGCCTTGGCACCATATTGGATCTGGGGAGTGAGAGAGTGAGGAGTCCAGGATGGTTCCTAGAGTGTGAGCCTGTTGGGCTCTCTACAATAAGAGGGAAGGTAGGAGGGGTATAGGGGAATGTTTTGGGGAAAAGATGATATAATGAGCTCTGCCATCTGTCACAACTCATCCATGCCTGCTCCTTCAGTGAGATTCAGTTTGTCCCACTCAAAACAAAAAGGGGTTGGGGGTTGGGCTGTCATTTGATGGAAACTCCTGGGCTCCTGACAAAGATGGGGGTGATCTGGCCCTTGGGGAGCAGGGACAATGCTGGGGGGTAGGAGTGATGGAGGTTTCCTAGTGACCCCTGCTCAGCTGGTGGTGGGGGTTCCTGAGCAGCAGTTCAGTTATAACCACCTTGAGAGGCTGAGCCCTGTTCAGAAGGGGAGAAGGTGGGAGCTTGCGCAAGAGAGAGAGATGGAGGTGGGATGTGGGGCAGTGTTGGGGTCCAAGGGTAAGCGTGAAGGTGCACATGGATCACAGTCCCCAAAGGAGAGTCCATGGCATAGGCCATTTTTCCACTCTGTTCAATTTGTAAAGCCCCTAGTATGGTGCCTGGAACATGGTAGGCACTCTATAAATGCTCATCCCCTTTCCCTTCTTCCCACCTTCAGGTCGGTTGATTGCATACCTCCTGTGAGGAAGTCAGGCCACAGCCTCAAGGTTAAGGTGCTGAGATCACTTCTTTCGTACACACACACACACACACACACACACGCACACGCACATGCACATGCACACACACACACACACACATGCACAGCACCCCCAGCTCTGGTGGCTATTCCACTCATATCTGTCTTCTCATCCATCATGAGAGAGTAGAAACAGTTTCATTTGTGTTTCTCCATACCCAGCACTTGGCCCAGTACCAGGCATGTAGTAGGTGCTTACTAAATGCTCTCTGTATTGGATTGAAAGCTATAGGCCTCATTGATGCACTCTCCATCATTCAACTCTGACTCATTAGAATTAGAAGTACAATAAGGAAGACCCACATTGCCATGTATGTGTGCACATGTTTGTGTATGTGTGTGTGCACATGTGTGCATGTGGATATGTGGTTTCCTTTCCACTCAACACAAGATGTCCTGTCCTTGAAGTGTGTCATGGGTCTGTGCCCTGTTCCCCATAGAGCATCCTGCCAAGCAAGGATCTGCAGAGATGCTAACCTTGTGTATTCCATGTGCCCTGGACATGTTGTGGGGGGGGGGTCACAGGGCCTCATCAGGCTTCGGCTCCTAGCTGCTTCACTGCTAGACATTTGGGGCTTTTCCCCATTGGCCTCCTCTTTGCTGTCTCTTCAGCCCTTCTCCAGGACTTCTCTATCTCACCGTTAACTTGATTTCCGATAGGGAAAAAAAAAGAAAACCACACAGTTCTCCACCAGGCCTGAATGTAGCTACTCTTGTCTTCCCTCATTGTCTTTGCTATGGGGCTGTCAGGTCCCCCAGGAAAGGCCAGGCCTTCCCAGTGCTCCCTGCACATTCCCTGGCAGACAAGGGCAGACTTTTGCCAGGTGCCCCGGAGCATCTTACAGATGTCAAGGCCCAGTTCCTCCCAGGATCCCTGAGGACAGGGAAGGCCAGGACCCTCCTTTTCATCGTAGAGAGGTTTGTTAAAAGCCCTTTGGGGCCCACAAGGGGATTGTTTTGTATCCGTCCTTTCCAAGGTCACTTTCTTGAGGCTGGGGGCCATCTCTTCCTGGACATGTTGGAGATGCGCTAACAGCCCCACCATGGAGTCAAGCCTCATGAGGCTTTGGAGTTGGAAGTGTTCACCTGACTCCTACCCCCACCCCCACCCCTGTGCATACCTTCTTCATCATCCTGCCCAAGGTAAGCTCCCTTGTGGTCTCACTGACCATGGCATTCCGTCAGGGCAGCGTTCAGGTCCTCCACAGGCCTGATCAGTGCAGTTAGTGCGTCCAGATCTGCCCTTCTCTCGGCCTGTGGGGCATCCCCTGTCCTGGGGCTCTCTGGCCCTGAGGACGCTTTGGGGGCACTGTTGAGCATGCTGTCTGATGTTGGGGCTCAGTGGGCCTCCTTTGTTTTGCTCCGCAGCTCCCTTCCCTCTCTTCTGATTGCCTGCCTGGTCTGTGATCGTTTGATAGCTCGGGGACCATGTTGTAAAATGGAGAAGGGTCAGGGTATTGGTTTGAGTTCTGTGGCCCCAACCCCCTGATACCCCCAGCTTTGTCCCCAAGTGCAGAGATCCTCTTCTAGGCAGAGAGCAAGCTGCCTAGCCCGCAGGGGCTCTCGGAGGAGGAGCAGTGAGGGGATTGGGCAGAGGGTCACAGGTTAGAGGATCCTACTTGGAGGGCTAGAGAGACCTCAGGCCATGGGCCAGCCCGGCCTTCTTATTAAGAGGAGGGAACAGGCCCAGGGCAGGGTGGTGGCTTGGGGAAGGTTACAGCTTGTAGTAAGTGTCAGCAGGGATTTGAGGTGCAGGCTGGTGTATCTCTGCCTCCCGTGTTGGGGCGAAGACACTGGTAAGCCTTCCTCCGCTTACATGGCCGCAGGGATGGCAGAGGAATTAGAGAATTTGGAGACATTTCCACTCAAGAAACCTGCTGAGAACTGGGGTTAGCCATGCCTCTCACTGGAGTTCACTGACTCCCCTTCTGTTCCGAGGGGCTGGTGCCATGCCTGCGGGCAGGTGCCCCGGGGCCGATGAGTCTACCTGGAAGGCAGAGGGAGTTGTGGCCCAGTGGAGGAGGAGAGGACCTGAGAGGAGGAAGAGGAAGCACCTCCCCTCCCCCTCCCCCCTCCCCCCAAGCCTTCCTGACTCCCTGGATGACAGAGTCAGGACCCAAGAAGGTCTTGATGGGCTAGGCCTCACCCTGAGCCCAAAAACAGGAAATCCAGCAGAGCTGGGCTTCTGTTTAATCCATTTTAGCTTCTCCAGAGCAGGGTAGAGGGAGGCATGGTTAGGCAGCGCTTTTCCTGAGAACACTTGGGATTTGGGTGGGCTGCAGGTCGCCCAGGGCACACGCTTCCTGGGAGAGAGGAAATCACCCCTCTGGCCTTGCCCTGGTCAGCTGGACCAGGCGTCATGTTTGGTTCTGGGCTCGGGTGTAGGAGGGCCATCAGCATGGGGAAGGG